TATATACAAAATTTCAACTGTCTACGGCTAGTCGTTTTTGAGTTACGCAAGATACATACGTACGTAAAGACATCACAAAAAAAGTCTGTTCTGAATCCATTTCGAATGAATTTTACAATTCGTTTTGAGCAAAAGAGTCATTTATTCTGTATGCACGTACTGATGTCAGGCAAAAAACATGATTCAAATGGATTCGAGAGTGGTCAAAATGAATATTTTCATTGAAATATAATACCCGAAAATTTCCATAATTACAATACTTCCTTTACTTCGTACAAGGAAGTAAAAATTTGAGTCAAAACCCTTTCAGTGCTAATTTTTTTAAGCAAAAGAAGTTAGAAGAATGTATTAAAAATGGAAAAAACTGTACAGAAACGGGAAACACAAAAATAAAAGGTTTCTAATTCTTTAAAAGCAAAATCCTAACAAGCAGCAGTTGATCGATAAGGCACGAAATAAAGATTAACCAAAAAGACGAGGATAAGAATAACCATTTTAAAATATTCATAAGAAAAGAACTGGTGAAAGATGATTATCGAAGTTGTTTAGTGTCGAACGGCAACGAACACATAAAGTGCATTTTCTTTTATTATATCACAGACCAAATAAAACAAAATAATCCTCTAAATTTATACTTAGCGCACTTTGCCTTAATTTAAATAAAGATCGGAATTAATTTTCCTTATATATTGATTTGAGAGCCCACTGGGAAATGCCAAAAAAACTATAATCGCAATAAAAACTTATTAAAAGTAATAGCATTGACGTTTTCAGTAAGCATAGAAGTCTTCCATTTCTTTATAAGATATTCGCTTCTGAATTCACGTTCCCTCCTCCCCAAAAAATAACAAGGTATTCGCAAAATGTATGGCTCCAATCCAGATATGGAATTCTTAAAAACATTTTCGGCTTTTTTTAATAATAATAATAAAGAAAAGAATTCGAAAGAGTTTATTGAACTCATTTTTTTATGCCATTTTGCCCAAATCTTACAGAACCGTATCTCAAATGATAATTTGAAGCTTTAGCAAATTTTTTTCTCGTTTTGTTTTTTCAACTGATGTATTGTTTCAGAAACCAAGAATTCTTTTTAAATTTCAGAAACGTTAAATTGCAGTTGGATAAATTTTTGCTGCCAGATAGAGAATAGAATTCTCTGTTTCTTCAATGAAAAAAGGAAGAAATTAGCATAATGATGCAGAAAGAACTCCTTAAGTGTTTTGTCCCAGCTCTATTACTCAATACCCTTTCCTGTAAAAGAAAATAGTCGACGAGTATCTTGAAAAGTACTCTTGCATTTGTTTGAAGTAGCAAGCTTTAAGCTCACGTTGTTAGGAAACCTAAATGATTAATCATTTAATTAATTTTGAGTCCCAAAAACACATTTTTGTTACCTTATAAAACCAACGCTATCTGGTAGCTCCAGGATATGATATAAAAATTTGATGCGGACACCACATGACTTCCTTGTACGGAATATTAAATTATGCGCATTTTTGTAGCATTTCATTTAAACTTATTTCCTCGAATTTCAGTAGAGATAAATTTCTCACTCAATTAATTCCGTTCTCACTTCGCGGTAAGCAAAAATGCATAAAACTTCAAAACATCTTTATTAAAAATCGAAAAATGTAGGAAAAAAAACCTATGCAGTTAAACCAATTAAAAAACAATTTTTGCAGTTATAATTAGAGTTTCAACGCAAAAACAAGCAATTAGGGCAAGAGGCAAAAAGGCAGATTTTTCGGTGCACAAAACTAAAAGTTTACTTTTGGTCCCAATGGCAAAAATACATCAAATGTGCAGAAACTGAATTCAATATTCTGCTGAGATTCAAATGTAAACAAATGGCGGATCGGTAGGCTTTAATCGCCACTTAAACTTTTAAATTGCTGATAATTCTACAACTATTGCATGCAGATTAACTAAATAAAAACCTTAACCGAAAGATATAAACAACATAATTCAATCACTTATAAAGCAAAAAATGCGCAATTTACCAGCATATAAAAATTTAAAAAAAAATGAGATCACTGAGCCGAGTACCAAGAGTGGGTATACATTTATATATACCCACTCTGTTTCTCTGTTGGGAAAAAAATCCCTTATGAATCCATTTTAAATCTCTTTTACAATCCGTTTTCGATAAAAATTTTCCTCTATTCTATACATATGTCTATTCACATACAGATGTCACCCCAGAAAATCGTCTAAATACATTCGAGAGCGGTCAAAATGAATATTTTCATTCAAATATGATACCCGAATTTTTTAGCGAATACAATACTTTTTTTACTTCGTACAAGGAAGTAAAAAAAGGATGAACACTATAATAAAAAGACAGAATACACGAAAGTTAAAATACATAAAATTAAATTTTACTGTATCTGTACCAAAGAGTGTGGACAGCAGAAGTGGAAAGTGATGAAGAAAATGCCATCGTTTGGCCTAGGTAGGAATTCCATTTTTTTAAAATAATTAGGAGGAATGTTTAGCAGATATCTTTTTTTATATTTTCTTTATCTTGAAGCACCAGTCGACTGTTTTTGAGTTTCATTGGGCCTCTTCCCCAAAAAACAACACTCAAAGTTTAGCCAGTGTCATTTGCTGTTGCCTATGTTTTAAAGTGTTTCTAAGGTGAGACATAACATTGTCATGGAAATGTTTATGCTGTCCCTTCCTATTAGTTTTTCAGGGTGACATCATAACATAAAAACTTTCGATCTTACACCATTTTGCAAGAATTCATTGATCGAAGAATCAGTATCTTCTTTTTACTGAACCCATTTCTTCCAAAATCGCATATTTTTTTTTTTGCTATTTCTGAAGTTACTTTTGTTGATCCTATTTATCTGGTTCTTGAAGTTAACTTCTCCAAGTTTTTAGCATCCTAGTCAGAGTTTTGAACTGACAAAAAATATCACAGATAGCAAAAAGAGTCCTAAGTGCGAAAGCCTTTAAAGTTTCTGACTGAAACCCATTCTGTCTGTCATCATTCTATCCAGAAATTCATGGCCCTGCAAGACCACGAATTTCTCGCATGTAAGTCACTTCACATGCAGACTACGTTAATGAGATTTAAGGAATGGAAAATATTAAAATCATGTTTCCCGAAGTCCCTGAGTGTTAATTAGGTTATTTCTAAATTGTGACCCGTCAAAACAGCTCATGATAAAATAGCCGAAGTGCATCATATTATTTAATAAGCATCTTATTTCTAGTTTCAAATTTAAAAAATATATTGCGAATATTGAATTTTTATAGTATTCTACAAAATTCACACCCAGACTTTTTATCTCAAAATAAATAAAAATTATCTCTGTACTTTATGTATATTTAAAAAAATAAAAACAAGATATATAAGACCAGTAAAAACAACAAAATCATTGTTTATTGATACTCATATTTCAAGATTGTTAGTATACTTAGCTAATTTTTGCGCAAATCATGCAAATATTCTGTTAATTTGTAGAGTCATTAGGTTTTTATGAAGCAGGAGGCGTGAAAATGAGCATTGCCCTTGCCGCGACTCGAACCTGGAGCTCTCGAATACGCGCAGAGTGTGCTGATCGCTACACCACGAGAGCATGCAGGAAGAAGGGAGCATATCATTTTGTTGAGTTTGTGTTTGTCGTTCGCGGTTTTTTTGTCTTTGGTGTCTGCTCTTGCCTAAGTGTTTGTATTTGTTCTGTTTCTTCACTTTTATGTTTATAATTATTATTAACACATTATTTTCATTTAGATATTTTATGTTTCAATTTTTTTCTTTGTTGAAATGAGCGTGGCGTGTCATGATCATGTGACTAACTTGTTTGGTTAGGCGGGTCGGGCTGCGCCCTCTACTGATACTACTGATACCTTATATACTCCGCCTTTTAAAAGGCGACTAGATTAGGAGACCCATTCGGCAAACATTGGTGAAAAACCATCATCCACCACATTTTAGTTCGGGCGTCTCTGCAGAGTCATTAGGTTATTTTGGAAGCAACAGACATGAAAATTAAGCAATGCCCTCGCCGAAACTCGGATCCTGGACCTCTCGATTACGCGCCTAATGAGCTAATGTTTACACCACGAAGGCATGATGAAAGGAGAGAGAAAATTCCTTATAAATTATATAACATTTATAATTTAGAATATAAACCAGAGGATCAAGAAACTTTTGTATGCTGCGGTAACCTGTATGTGGAAATTATTATTACTGCACCCTACTTGGCAAATGGTTGTGAAATACATTTTAATAAGACACGCCTATCAGCCAGCATATGTAGCCAGCCTTGCTCGAAATTCGAACCCGGTCTCTTCGTTGCGGCAGTCAGTGTCACTAACCACTTCCCCGTCTTCGAGGCAAGATTTAATTACTGATTCTTAAACAGACATTGCACAGCTTGCATATATTTAGATATTAAAAATTTTAAAATAGTTAGAGGGATACAGTTCGAAAACATTTGATTTAGGATATTTTATCATGGGTTATTTCTCATGGACTGTTTTATCATGGGCTATTTTGTAATAAGGAATTTGTCAAGGTACTATTTAAACAATTTTGAAAAATCATTTGTTTCTGGAATAGGTGGCCGTAACTCAAGACACCGTTTGTCGTCCGATCATGTTTTTGTTCAGATAATTTATTCATGAACAGAATTATTCGTGAAAGGAGGCGTTCATGATGCGAGGTTCAACTCTATATCTTAGATTAAAAGAGAACTTTATCTTGGTTCAACTCTGAGGTTCCGATTCGAGACAACTTTAGCCGAAGGTCAACTGCGTATCTTAGATTGAAACAAGAACTTAGATTAAAAACGAACTTGTTGATCTTAGGTTTGAAAAATAAGAAAGTATTATTTATGGACTGACCAAATATTTCTCACTGCCCATTAAAATCTTAAGAGAGAAAAATGAGTAGGTATTACTTTTATTACATATATTTATTATGGTATTATTTTTCATATATTACTAAGAATTATAAATATAAATGGGAAAAATATAAAAATTTTTACCTCTGGTTCTCATGTAGGTTTGAAGAATAATATCTCTGAGAGTCGTGTTGTGCTTGGTGAGGTAATCAGCCGGTAAATAAAAAGTCTGAACAATTTCGATATCATTTTCAATTGCCAGCTTGCTCAAGGCCTCTGCCACGCTTTTATCTGAGGTGTTATTGGCTACCAGAAGCATCAGTTTGGTCCAGTCGAAATGCTTCAACAGGGAGATGAGAGATTTTGAAACTTTGGAACTCGGTGGCAAAGTCCTCGCAAACGTCGTGAAAATATCCTTGTTGGACACTTTGCTGTCTGAACATTTCTGTAATAGATAAAATCAAGGTTATTATGCGAAGTTTATTTTAGAGTATTTAATTACTTAATTTTATTGCTGAGATAAAATATTCACAGATAAACCATAAAATGATTACTATGGATTACTGATTAAACTTTTCGTCGAAATAAACATCATGTACAGACATTTTACATATTAATAACAAAAATGTAATTAAGCTCTTTGAACGGTGGACCAAACCTTCGACTAAAACGCCCGAGACGACCTTTCATTCAAACGACAATCATCGTCCGAACGGCCGAGATTGTACGTTCTGTTTGTTTGCTGTCCCTAATGTACGCAACAGCTTAAGGCGCAATTTCCCCAAATGTATGGCATCAGCTCATTTTTATTATATACAGTCTTGTCGTAGAAGGATTCTTTTATCTTTCCTTATCTTCAGGTTAAAGTATGCACTCCGGGGCTAATGGAAGCTCCTTTGTTAGGAACTAGAAACGATATCATATGAAACTTTAGCCCCTCTTTAGTAGCTGAGGAACACGGGTAGGCAGAAACTATTGTGAATCTCAAATAGACTCTCAGATGAGGAGGTATTGGACTGAACCATATTTTTACGACTCAGTGGTCACTAACAATAACTTTGATGCATCAGGTAGGGAATGGATAGAGGATCGAGAACAGCAAAGAGTGGAAAAAATCGAAGAAGGAGTTAAGATCGGGAGAGACCCGTTCACTGAGTCAATTCGCTTTGAATTTATTTCTTTCAGGTGTAATTTTTTAAATTCCCCAAAATCTTCTTTTTATAAAGAATTAACAGCAAAATTCTAAACTGAAAGATATGTTCGAAAAGTTGGTAAATGATAAGAAATTAATTCCACTTTTTAGTGGAAGACAAGCATTGCTTTCTCCTCTAAAATGGGAACTGAATTTTTCTGGTACGCTTCCATTAAGAGTGTGCTCTAAAAGAGCTACCGCTCTGTTTTGCTGAATCATAGTTCGTTCACTTAATAAAGGGACTGGTTTATTGCTTTAAATATTTGAATCTCTGAAACAACAGCGGTTATTGTTTGTTCATCTTAAGCTATTAACAGCAAGAAGTAGTCTATTACACCTATAAGTTAAGTTTTGCCTCTTGTTTGTACCATTGGACTTTAGTTAGGTGTTTTTTATAATTATAAAGACTATACTCCGAAATGAGAACGGTTAAACGAGTGGGATTAAATAATTTTCAATTATATTTAATTTTACCAAGCAAATCTAAAATCTGAAAAAGAAATCTCGAAAAATCACCATTAAAATGCTGCATACTTTCCAGTTTCAGATTCCTGTCCTGAAATATTGTGTTATTTCACGAGCTTTGTTGAAGAAAAGAAGCAAAGGTTTCATCTGTAGTTAGCTTAGACCTTCCGAGTCTTATAAATCGAGAGTACGAATTGGCACAATTCCAGTCCAGTTTTGAAGGAGAATTCCTTAAAGAACGCATCCGAAAGCTTCCCCTTACACCGCACTCTCGAGAGGACAGTCGGCGCAACGGCATTTTAACCGCTTTACTCTCGATGTCAAAAATGATGCTCTCCAAGCGCCCGTGACCTTGGAGCGCTGATTGCGCCCGATCACATTTTGCCATTAAGTTTAATGTGCAAATTTAATTCTTAAAAAATCTGCTTTTTATTGAAATATTTGGGATCTTGCATATGTTATTTAAAGCTTTTACTCTCTTGTACGAAGTAAAGAAAGTACTGCAATCGCGAAATATTTCGATTAATAGATTTCAGTGAAAATATCCATTTTGATTGTTTTTTAGTTTAAGCTTAGTTTCTCATCTAGATTGGCAATAAATCTACTATTCTGCTTAGTTTCAAATGCAAACAAAAAATTAGGCTTAACCGCACTTAAATAACTTTTAAATTGTTCATAATTCTACAGCTATTGCATGCAGATTAACTAAAGGCATAGAAAACTTAACCGAGACATAAGAGTAATATAATTCAATCATTTTTAAAGGAAAAAATATACAATATACCAACATATAAGAATATAAAAATGATCTCGCCGAGCCAAGTAACAAAGGGGTATATGCATATTTTTGGTGCGGCCAATTGCGACCAAGAACGAAAGTGCACAACTGCATATAATAACAGTCCCATAGACAAAATTTAAATGTTCTGAGGCTGTTCGTTTTTGAGTTATGCGAGATACATACAGACGTACGTAGGTACAGACGTCATGAAAAAAATTTGTTTTTAATCTATTTTAAATCCATTTCACAATCCGATTTGGAAAAAAGTGTCTTTAATTCTGTCCGTACGTACAAATGTAACGAAAAACCATCGTTCAAATGGAATCGAGAGCGGTCGCGATTACAGTACTTCTTTCCCTTCGTACAAGGAAGTAAAAAAGCTTCTCGTTTCCTGTGACGGGTATGTCCCGGTTAAGCTATCATACAGTTAAAACGTTAGAAGAGAAAGGTTCGGCGTGAAATTCGCAGGGAATTTGCGAAAGTTTGAGGACAAATATTATGTGGACGATTCCACTTTAAAATTTAGGGGAGCTAGTTCTCTGACTGTACTGAGGAAAGGGAAAATGATACAAATATTTTTAAAATTTTCAGAACCTGGAGCTAAAAACCTAGGGGGAGGGAATCCGGGAGGATATACACTATTTAAAGTCATCTTTTCAAAAATATTTTGAAAAGATTACTTATTTTCATTATAAAATATGTCTTTTTCTCTAAAGAATAAAACAACGTAAAATGTTTTTTTTTAAAGGAATTTGTCGATGACTGAGTTGAGGATTCTTTGAATCAGTGTTTATTTTTCGCTACTGTTTTAGTTCGGGTATTTTACAGTTAAGAAGCAGGGTAATAAATCACTAGAGCTCATTTTATTCAAAGTAGCGGTGCATGTAAAAATAGGGTAAGAAAGAGCTATTTATTTTTACTTCTAGTTTATTTGCACAACTATTGCGTTAAAAATAAATCTTCTTTGAAAAATGTGAAAGAACGGATGTCAAAAAGATTCATTCTCGATAAGAGGAGAGAATTTTACGATAAAAGCTGCGAGAATATTAACAGAAATTACCGAAACTTGGTGACAAATATAGATTTTTTTAAGAATCTAATTCTTAATTTTGACAATAGGGTAGGAATTTTAGCTCTGAAAATAACGACAAAATTTTCAGGGAACGTCGAAGGAAAATACTGTAAGGTATTTTCTCCCTCCTTTCTGCATGCCTTCGTAGTGTAACGATTAGCACACTTGGCGCGTATTCGAGAGCTCCAGGTTCGAGTCCCTCCGAGGGTATTGCATATTTCTTCAGTTTCAAAGGAGCCGTTCCAGATGACAACGGCTCTTTTGAAAACATTAACCGAATGATGACATTAAACGACGACGAGAAAGATATCTATCAAATTAACAACAGAATCGAACTAATATAAGTCGAAACATATAAATGGGTAAGTTTACAGCATTTCTATTAGGAAAAATTGTAAGTTTCTTTATAAACTAATTGTTCATAATATTCTTAAATGCAAAAGATCAGTTATGAACTGTTCATAATACTTCTGCAAACTATTTGACTGATGATGTGCCCCTAATCTTAACACTCGGAGAACATCCCTCACTGGGAAAGATCAAGGAAAAAAACATTAGGCAAAAATGCAACCTCATTTTAGATAGATGTTTTCAGCGAGTTTTTCGGAAGAATGGAATTAAAAAAATATGCAGAATTGTTTTTCCTCCTGAAGAAGAAAGATCCGTGTCTGATCGCTCTTATAATCGACAGAATTTTTTAAAATTTACCTAATTTTGTTAGTTGCTTTTTTACTTAAGTTTAAACAGTTGACTAAAATCTGCATTTTGGATAGATGTTTTCAGGGAACGTTTCGGAAAAACGGAAGAAAAAAATATCCAGAAACAGTTTTTGCTCCTGAAGAAGAAAGATCCGTGTCTGATCGTGCTTAAAATCGACAGTGTTATTTAAAATTTACCTAATTTTGCTTTATTTTGCTGGTTGCTTTTTACCTAATATTAAACAGTTGACTAAAATCTACATTTTGGATGGATACTACATTTGACCTGAAGAAGAAAAACCTGTGTCTGATCGCTCTTAAAATCGACAGAGTTATTTAAAATTTACCTAATTTTGCTTTATTTTGCTGGTTGCTTTTAACCTAATTTTAAACAGTTGACTAAAAGCCAAACCAACCTGTATGGTGATTTAATTCCTTTCCTGGCAACATTTCTCTGTCACTTGGCACTTTTTGTAATTTATTTTGACCTTATCTGCAGAATATACTTCAGTTTAAAACAAATGTATTTTCTAATATTTTAATCCCATGGCTATTATCAGAAATGATAATTTCAGTAAACGACCTGTTTTCTACGTTTTTCGTATACAAATGCGCAAGACTTCGGCAAATAGATAACAACATCCGAATAATAACATTAACTCATTAAGCAGAGGCAGACAAAGTGAATTTCACACAGTCACATGTTCCTCGGATATGGACACTCGAGAGTATTAATTTTGAATTTCGAATTCGAAGTCCAAAGGGGCAATTTTCGCAGAAGGACTACTAATTTCGTTCCAGCATGTTGCGTTGATTAAGCTTGTTTCACTTTTCAAATTGTTGCCACCAAATATTATCGCTCTGTATTATATTTAAAGAAATTAAATAATGAAGAATCTGCATGAATGTATGTATGTTTCCCGCATTGTGATAAAATAACGGCACCTAGATCTATCAAAATTTGAATAAGGTAATCTTCCATAGAATATGGACATGTGGAAGCCCTGATTTGAATTTGAAATTTGTTTTATTATCCATTTCATATTTTGTATCACATCAACGAATTTTCGATTAAAAAACTCAACGATTTCAAAGCGAGCCATGACAATACTGTACGAAAAAAAAAAAAAAAAAAAAAAAAAAAAAGAAAGAAAAGAAGAGAAATTTTATCTCCAATGCGCGAAACTCTGTATCGGAAATTTTAAAGATATGCTCATTTTAAACTTATTTTGCGATA